GGGGTTTGGCGGACGCTGAACCATTGGAAGGACAGGGCCCGAACGTCAGGGAGAGTTTCAATCCCCCTTGAGCATTCGAGATGACAATCCTACATATTTGTATATACATATATATAGTCAAACAGAGCTGCCCGGTAAATCGTAGGCAGAGAGGGAGAAAATGACAACAGACAAGGGGTTGTGGCAAACTGTTTCGTCGGAGTTTCACCGACTCATCAAAAGGTTGAACCCTCTGCAGAATCCCCTAATTGATTACACTGTAAGTGATGATCCACCTTAACCCCGACTGTGGTTAAGCATCAATGACTGCCCGATAACTGATACCCTGAGGTGGGCACCAACCACTGCCCTCAAGGTACCTGTGACAAAAGTCAAAGCAGATTATCACTCACCCACACCAGATGGAAAACTCTACAGATTGTCGGTTCACACCCCATCACAAGCAAGCAAAACACCCACGAAACAAAAAAAGGTCTTTCACAGCCAAAAATTACACTCCAGACACGCCGCTGGCATTAGAGGCACAGCATGGCCGCGTAGTGACGGCCCCGACCACTGCCACTCGACCTGACCGGAGAATACCGTAGTAGGGTGCTAGCGAAGTCGTGGTATATATAGTCAAACAGAGTTGTTCGATATATATATATATATATATATATATATATATATATATAGATAGATAGATAGATAGATAGATAGATAGAGAGAGAGAGAGAGAGAGAGAGAGAGAGAGAAAGTGAGAGAGAGATAAAAATAGAGAGTGTCGTGTGTACAGTAGTTTAAGGTCCTCAGTTATGTTGAACGGCATTATCTCAAAACCTTTCTCCCTCTCCCGGTCTCCGAGTCTGAGGCAGAGTTGCCCTTTAACCTCCTTAGTATTCATACTTCAACTAAAAGTGTTTGTATGCAACATCATAACAGAGAGAGAGAAATAGAGAGTGTCGTGTGTACAGTAGCTCCAAGTCCTCAGTTATGTTGAATGGCATGATCTTAAAAAAAAAAAAAAATTCTCGGTTTCTAAGGCAGGGCTGCCCTTTAGCCTTCTTAGTATTCGTGTTTCAACTAAAAGTGGTAGTATGCAACAACGGAAAAATTTTCTGAATTAAATAATCATTCTATAGTAAAATTACAATATAAATTTCAAATTTTTATTCCATCTTAAAAAATGTCATTCCAATTTTAAAAATTTTCATCTTATTTGCAAACTTTCATTCAAAGAATAGGGTATCCCTTCTTATTTGGACTGCATGCTAGAGATGGAATGAAAGTCTAGATGAGTTCATGAAATATTTTAATTGGACTGTCATTCGAAGTAAGGATTTTCGACCATAAATAGGTTAATCCAATTTAAATTAGAAGATATTTGTCGAAGTATAATGAAAATTTCATTAAGACATTTCATAAACTTGTCCAGACTTTCATTCCATCTTGAACAAATAGATGTAGTTGGAAGGGAAAGTTCATATTTAGATGGGAACTTATCAAATAAAACTGGAAATTTTAGAATTTGGACCAACATTGGAATGATCATTTACAAATATGAAGGATTTTTTTTTTATGGAATGTTTTTCAACTTTCACTTCTCGTGGAATTTTTTTCTGTTGAATATCATGACGTACCAACAAATTATCGATATAAAAGTACAACACCGTCTGTGAGATAAAAGTTGTAGCAGACGATGTGTTCACCATTAGCGTCAGCGTTCAAGACTCCTTAATGCACTCAAAGGTTGTTTAACATAATATTTCAATTTATCATAGCAACGGTAAACTATGGAAAATCAGTCTATTTCTTACCACCCAGTACCGCATAGCAGTCGAGTTTGGCATGAAAAGGGTTGCAGACGGTTCGTCAGAGGGACACTCGGGAGTGTAGGTGGCCCTTACCAGATGTGGAAACCTTCGAGGTGATATTCTCTAGCAGAAAACCTTGCAGTGTATGGTTAGGTGGTGCCAGATTCCACACATTTTCCTGTTCAGTAGAACTATGATCTTGAATACGACTTTCTTCTCCCTCCATTGGTATGTTGGGAAAGTCTGCCATCACCTTCGTTTTAGGGCTACAACTAATACGTCGTTCCTGGT